AATGTCAGGACTGGGGGCTGTTCAACCTTTCCACTTACAGTGTGGCAGATAGGAAAGCATAGGAACAGCACCGTTTTCTGTATTGTCTCTGGTACAGTACGGTTAATTTTCAAGGACCAAGAAACTTTTCCATCATTTGGATAAGCATGGATGTCAGTTGTACTCTGGCAAAATTATGATGAGCAGCTCCAAAAAAATCTAAGCCTGAGTGACCATTCCCCTCCAGCCATCCTGAAGGCACTATAAACATTTTGTTTACTGAAATTATTAAGAAGTACTGCTGCCATTTTATATATGACTGGTGAAGTTCTGACTTCATTTCTGGAAGCAACAAAATAATTGCTTTCACCTCCCCACCTTACATTGTCTGTAATTAGTTGGAAATGTGACATAATGCCAGGAAGATGGACGAAAATAATCTAGAAAGCAAGGACACTGGCATTAGTGCTCACTGCAGTATATTTGTGAAGCACTTCTGTTAGATTTAGGACTGTATCTGATTTACCTGGGAGGGAAAAAGACCTGAACTCATCTGAGGTGAAGCACAGACTTTGGCTTTCCTCTGGTCACCTGGACTATCAACATCCTTTTTTTGTCCCTGTAAGATATAACCCTGTCTCTACAGCATCTTTTATCTACAGCACACCACTCATCTTACAGGGTTCTACTTCATGCCATGTGACCCAATGCTGAAATGTTTTGTATTGCTACAATTTCAAGTTCATGGAAAAGGATGAATATTTGGCTCTTTCCTCTTTACACTATGATGTGCATTTTTGTGACTGCTGAACATGCAGCTTTTCACAAGCAAAGAAGGAAGAAATGCCAAAGAAGTTGCCTCATCACTTTAACAGAATGAGAGACACTGCAAATTAAATCACACAAGAGGAAAAACAACAACTTGGTGGGTTGTTTTGGTTTATTTTCCCCCTTGTGTAGCTAGAAAAGATCTTGCACATTGTAAAGAAAAATTGTCTGTTTCTGTGGAAAATGTAAAATGTATATATTTGCCATAAATTTACTCAAATTTTGTTGCAGATCATATAGGCAAAACTCTGTGCTTTCTTAGGTTTACTTATATTACAAGAAAATTTGACCTACCCCCTCCTGAAGAGGGAGAGAAAAGCCTGAAACACTTCCAGCAGCCTACCTCTCTATTATTATTTTCACTCTTTTTTTTTTTTTTTTTTTTTTTTTTTTTTTTTTTTTTTTTTTTTGGTGTAGGGTGGGAAGCAGAGAGAAAGAGGGAGAAGGGAATGAAAAGTGCCTATCAAGTAAGTAAAGATTGTGATTTACAGGAGTGAGCAGAAAATCTGTTGTTTTTTTTGTTGTTTGTTTTTTTTTTTTAACTAGGATGGATAATAATCTGTCCCTCACAGTCCAATTAATTTAGAGAATCCAGGAACTTGAGGATTGTCTTTTTAGCAGTTCCTCCTCCACAGCAAGGTTTGCTTTGCCACTGCCCATTATCCCAGAGCTCTTGCAACATCACTGACTACAAACACTGTATTTCTGCATTGACTGAACTGAATTTCCCAAGACCTTGGGAGTTATCTGAAGGCCCTGGGAAATTTCACTACAATTTGAGGTTAGGCAGGTCTGTGCATTAAAACTGTTTTTTTCCAGCAGCATGAACACACACACACATACACAGAAACAAGAGTCAGGTTCTCCTCAGAGACTGTTTTTACACTGTTTCAAGAGCTTTATTCTTGTTCCTCATTTACATTCCCAGGAGAGGAAACTGACTCAATATCTCTCTTATTTGTAGGCACTTGTGATAGCAGATTGAGGTTTCCCAGCTCAGTAAGAAGTCAAATGATCCAGTAACTGACTCTGCATCTTGATTACTGAGGATACAGGAAAAATAATGTATTTTATCCACTTTCATCTGGCTACTCTTGACAACACTATGCAGGCAGGTAAGGTACCTTAGGTTGCTTGTATGCAGGGCTTATTTTGGAAGTAACACAATCCAAGGAGAGCCCCTCATTAGGGCTTCAATGAGGGATTACACACAGGTGTTAAAGGACAAATAAGCTAGGCTTTTTCAGCATTATTCTTGTTTAATGTTACAAAAGGGCCTTCAAAACTCTGGATGCAAATAATGCTTTCCAATAGGCTGCCAAGAATAGTCATGCCAATAATGCCATGCCAATGTGAATGAAGTTGGAGTGTTTTTCTTCGCAACTATCAGACATGCCACACAATGCATTTCTGTGGAGTTCTCTTTCTTGGGTGGTTGAAATCACTTGGCTGGCAGCCTCGTGCCTCCCAGCTCACCTGAGGCATGCTGTAATCAGCCAGAACCGTGCTGCATGTCATGTCTTACTGCTTCCAGAAAATATACAAATTTCCTTTCCTTCTATCCCTTTGTGAATGAGTCCCTTAGGGGTATGGTTTTAAGACAGCGCACAAGAAGCCTTTGCACAGATCCTTGTAACACATAATGAGATTTGTGTGCCTGCCTACTTTCTCTGAAAATGAACCCTAGAACAGCAGAAGTGACTTGGTCTGGCACTTGCTTGGTCCTTTTGACCTCCCTCTTGTGACAGAAGATAAAGGCTTCCCCCTCCTTCTCTTATAGAAAGCCTGGAGGGTAGGTTTTTATGATGTGCTGTCTTGTCTTGCAGTAAACAGAGACATTTCTTGAGGTTTTTAAAGTCACCAGCTCCAGTTCTGAAGAAAGATACAGTTGTTCAGCACTTTGTGGGATAAACTTGTCTTAGGAGTACAAGTGCAATGAGTCTGCATGTCCTATGACAGAAGGCTTGAACACAGAGTTTTTGCTTCAAAATGACATCAGAAAACACTGGAAATGCTGGAGAGGTAACTGCTTAAGACAAGTAGAAAAGTCTTACCTGCAAAATAGCTGCCAAGAGCTCATGCTCTTTCCAAGCCTTTTTTTTGTTATTACTGCACCCTGCAGTATTCAGTGAAGTGGCTCAGTGAAAATTCACCTACAAAGACTCATGTAAGCTTCTTGTACACAGCCCATTTTTAATGTTTTTTTGTAAGGCCTACAAAAAAAGAGAGAAAGAACATGCTATAAACCACCACCAAAACATCTGAGCTGTTATGGATTGTGGGAAGGTTGCTTGCAGTCTGCCAGGATCCATGCTGAGTGCCTAGGGAGCTGAAAACTGCTCTTGTCCTGTGATAAGGGCTTTACATGAAGCAGGCTCTGCTGGAGGCACAGCAACTTACAGCTTGTGTTGAACCAGCACTGCCAAAATGCCTCTTATAAGCAGCATCAACTGAAGTGATGTCAAAAATTCTCCTGCCCTATAACCTAAGTAAAGAATGTGAATTTAATGGGGAAATATACATTGAAAAGTATAGCTGAGATCAAGATACTGTGTGCCTAGGCCATGTACACAGAACTGTGTTGTCTCTCACTGAGAACCAGCAGGCTGTACCTCACAGTTTCTTGGGTTTTGCCTTGGGCCTGGACTAGATGTATTTCTGCACTAGTAAAACACAGCAAGTGCAGTAAGTGTTTACCCCCTTTGACATTACCATTTCATCTGGTCTAATAAGATCCAGCTTTTATTTCTGTGTGTAGCTGTGCCTGTGAGAGGCAGGAAGAACACACCAGCTGGGGAGGAAAAAGGAAAAAGAATAAAGAAAATATTCCCGGGTACCTACCCAAGGAGTTAATGCATTGGGGCATATGTGAAGGAGTTAAAACACTACGCAGGTACAGATCCTGTGGCAATTACAAATGTTATTGAAATAAAAACCAGAAACAGGAAGCCAAAAAACAGGTCCCTAAGGCAGGCATCTGTCTTAAATGATATCATTTGTCAAGTTTCCAGCATTTTGTGGTTGTGAACACAAAAAGAAGTTCTGTGTTACACTAAGGACATTACATACTCATTAGTCGGAATGTTCCTGAAGTACATAATACAGGATTTTCATTTAATAAGAAGCAGCTACTTGCAACTGCATTGCACATAAAATAAATTCTGGGCATGCTAATTGCAATTCAAGGATCTTCTACCTAATTTTTGACAGGTTTTTCTTGCCCTCCCCCCTTAGACTACACTGCAAAAATTGTAAGCAGATTCTATTACTAAAGTTTTAAAATCTTCAGAGAATATTTTTTACTTCTGAAATCTGAATTTATTCAGTCATGAATTATGAAGATTTTAATGCAGATATTAAAGAACAAAAGAAAAAAAAAACAAGTTATCTACAGGAATATTGTAGCAAGAACTGGCATATTAAGGCAAAATACATACATGTACATATACATATACACATACACATGCATATACATGTGTGTCTCTTGGTACAATAACTCTCCAAGTCATTCCTCCCCATCTCAAAGAACAAACCTAGCTTTAATGAATTGGTTTAGTTCCTCTATCTGAACACTATTAGTGCATTAGTTTTAACTAATATATAAGCTACCCCCTCGCTGCCCTGCCAATGACCTTAAGCTTCACATGGTAGGAAAGCCACTTGCTGTAGAATAGAAAAGTAATTTATCCACCATGATTGTTCAGCCCTGGCCCCTCTGTAAAACAGCAACTGACAATTGTGCTGTGTTATGGATGGTACGTTTGTGGTGTGTACAATAGTGTGCAGAGCATCAAACTCACTTCCCTGAATACTGCAGGCAGGATTTGAAAAGTGATCATAGAGAGAAGCGACCACTTGCTGAGTGATGTCCCTCCATTTCCAAATCTTTTTTTTTTTCCAAGTAGCTTCCCCCATTTTTTTCTCAAAAGAAACATCAGTGTTGTTTTCTCAGCTTAAGTAAGAGCAGTATGTAGTTTTCCATTCATAAAAGTATGTCATAATAATAATGAAAACAGGTTACATTGCTTTTATTTTACCTGGGATTCCCCTGCTTCTTTCCACATTTCAGCATTTAGCATATTCCCTCAAAACATAATAAATTTCTATTCTGTAGCTTAAGGGATCCATCAGTTAAAATGTTAGTCTTTCATCTTTATTACCCTCCCATTAAAATGAAAGAAACCGGGACACACTTCAGTTTAGAAGAAGCAATTTAGTTGGTAATGTCCTTACTACTCAAGTCTTTACAAAGAGAGAAAGTGCATTATTGCTTATATTTCACACATCTATCTGCATAAGAAGCAACTAAAGCTTTCAGACACATATGATATTAAATTTAATAATATTCTTTGATTAGATTATTTTATTACAACATTTTTCCATTACTAGTCATTTCCCGTACACATTTACATTCATAAAACCTGCAGGTTTTTCTTTGTTTGTATGTGTTTATATGTATTCATAAAGCAAGGAAAAGATTTTCTGGTTTGCTACAGCTGTTAGATTCAAAAAGAACAGATTAATAACTAGCCACCACGTAGGACTAGGTTTTCTTGTACACTGCACCAGTAACCCTTTGCTATAATGAGGACACAAAGAGGCTCACATCAGGCTGCTCCTCTTCTTCATAACTCAAAAGCGTCACAGTGGCAATAGCCTCTAGTGCTATTTGTCTTTAGTGCAGTTGTGACACTTCGGCATGATCCATAATTTGGCAGCTATTTACCGTGACATTTCCCTTCAGTGCAGCCATAACATTCAGTGAAGCCATTATTTGGTTCCATTTACCATATAAATTGTATTGTCGTGCATGCATGCTAGCAGCTACATTAGGTACCTGAAAATGAGTAAATCTTGTAAAATAGATACTAACAGCTATTCAGCAGAGAAATTTCTTTACTCCTCAGACAGAAGTAGGAATATATATAATATCTGCAAACATTACTACAAACTTTTCCTTGAGAGATTGCAATTATCTGTTTTTACATGACACAGCAGTTATTCATATCCACTTACTAAATATACACTTTATGTGCATATACATTACACACATTTGCACACATACGAACATACAGCAAACTATTGCTTGGTAGAAACCCAACTTGATTCAAAAAGGTATTAGGAGAATCCAGCATAGCAATTAAGTAGGAAGCATATCTGTAAAATGTGCTGAGGGTTGCAAGCCAGGAGAGAGCAAGTGAGTACGTGTGTGTCCGTGCGCGCGTGCGTATGCACACATGTGACAGACTCAGGAAACAAGCCAGCTCTTCATCTAGTTCTTTGTTGTTTTTCCATGGAAGCATATGTGTGTAGGGAAGGGAAATTTGGTTATTAGCCTCAGCAAACAATGCCAAATTCCTCTGTAGCAAATTCATTTAGAAAGGTAAAATTAGGATGTAGTGCTGGCAACCACATCTCAATGAGCTGCTATTATTAATAGTATTATTATTTAAATCCCTGCTCTCTACATATAGTATACTTCGTACTTCCAAGGCAAATGTATTATTATTTTTAATCATTTAAGTCCCCACTGTGCACACAGCTTTTAATACACCTTTTTTTGCAAGCATATTAAGTGTATTGTTATTAATCCCTTGCTGTGACTCTACAGTATTTCTTTTCCTTGTATGTTCAATGTCCTATCATCATTTAAACCTCTCAGTGTGCATGCCATATACATTTTCCTAGGCATCTAATATTTAAACATTATTTAAATCCATCATAGCTTACTTATTCAAAGGCAGCCCTGCTCCCACAAATGTAAGTTTGCAGAATGTACTTTTAAATAAAGAGAAGTTGTTTTTTTTCCCCTTGCTGCAACCCAAAATTTATTACGAAACTCATCAAAAAGGCCTTATCTGCATGTTTAAGAAATACTTTTCACTCTCTCTCCATTGATAATGCTTTCTTTTAATAATTTGAAGCATATAAGTTGTATCTTTAAAAACAAAAACTACTTCTTCATTCCATATTCATGCCTGAGCTACCCCTTCAGCTTAACATAAACATTTGATGAAAAAGACAAGCCCAATCACCATAGCCTAATCTAAACATCAAAAGGGCTACGAAATTTGTACATGGGCTATCCAAGTTATGCATGTAATAAATGTAAACCTTTTATTAATGCTGTGATCAATATGAAAGGGCTAAATAACAATCTGAAGCCAAAGTTAAAATGAACAACATGTCATATCTGAATATACATGTGTGAACCTTCCAAAGGTCCCTCTCTTCTCCTCTTTTGATCAGTGAAGAAGCCTGGGGCAGTTGCATTATGCAATGTTCTATATGAAGTAACATATTAAAAAGAAAGTAGAATGTATGTCCAAACAGAATCCTGTAACAGGAAGAATTTTCTATGACAAAAACATATGGAATTTACTGCCTCAGAAACACCGAATCTATTGAACCGACAGTGATCAACATTTCTGAAAATTGTGCCAGTTGGATGGTTTTTGCATTTGATTGTGGGAATTTAATTTGAAAAAATTGTTACTCATGCAACTCTTCTGTACATATCACAGTTGTAACCAATTGGTTTGTTTTTAAATTTTTTTTTTTTATTATTTTACCACAGTACATCCCATACAACCTTGGTTTTTTAAGATGCATTTAATTACCAAGGACTTCACTTTATCTCTGAACAAGGAAAGACATCACACATGCCTAGGAATAAAATGTTGAGAACATTGCATGCTCTGTATGGTACTTGAGTGTTGTCATCTTATAGCATTTAGCTGGAAGGCCAATATACCTTTCTAATTATGCAAAACACAAACACAACAAAATATTTGTATTATCAGAGATGAAAAAGGAAATATGTTTCTAACAGCAGATCTTACTTAAAACAAAAATCATGGTGGTTTGATGCTCACTTTGAGTAAGAGAGAAAAATGGTCACAAAAGACTCAATCCATTCTGCCTTTCCCCAAAATCACCAGTGCGACTAAACCCAGTGGTCAGGCATGGCCCAAGAAAGGGACAGTTCTACATTGTACATAATTCTCTATGATGCTAATTACATATGTACTAAAAATTTACATTATGAATGTACTATATCAAAATTTAAAATATTATTCTGTCAGCACTACTGAATAAAATCTATGTTTTCCTGTGCTACCATCAAAAATGTTGTATACAGTCTGTCCTGAATAATGCCCTAAAATTAAGTTTACCCTGGATTTTTTCCTTCAAGTCCTAGGCATTATCAGTCTATCATTATGTTTATTATGAAGCATATGATCTTAGGAAATTTCCATCTCTTCAACAGCATACAAATGAATGTCATTTTAAAAGATGTGGCAAAATTGGCCTTTATGATCTTAAAAGTTTTCTATGGAAAAAAATATGTAGAGCAAGCAGTGTCAAGTATTTTATTTTTCTGGAAAATATTATGCTTCTAGCTGGAATTCCCCCGGTATGTACCATTAATAATATTCACTAGGTGAGGAAGAATTTTTGAAACTTTACAAAACCCATTAACTGCACCCGCTATAAAATGTATGGCTGAGCATCAGTACGTGTACCAGGTATTGTGACTATAGATTTAAAATGGTCCTGCTGTTTGTAAGTGGGCTCCTGCAGAAGCAGTATTTGGTAAAAGTAGAAGCACCGGCCTGATTATGGGAAGTCCCTTCAAGAATGATCAGTCAAATAACTCTGAAAAACACAATATCTGAAAAAGAGCTAGTCAGCAAGAAGCATATAATTATGAATAAATGCCACAAATATTTAAATAGCTTTTAAAACTTTATTTAATCTTCAAAAAATATACAGGGTGTGAACACACATGAACATGGCTCAAAATCCCATTCTAATAATCTTTAAATACTGACTAAAGGGGAGACTGGACAATAAACAGTAAGAGTGGAAAATGAAAAGGCAACAAAATGAGACTATATTGCAACTTGTAGTTAAAGATTTAAAAGAAAATTGTGTAGTTGTTTATAGTTATGGAAGACATAATTAAAAAAAAAATCAAGTTGCTTAATATTACTGACATGTCAGAATTGGAGGATAGATTTCCCTGTGTAACCAGTCAAGGAATATTACTATGATTCATGATGCAACTGAATTATGATTATCATGTTTGTGACAGAAAATCAAGAGCATTTTTTTCCCAGGAACTTCAAAAGATTAATAGAGCAACCGAAAGATACAACTCTTTACTTATTTTTGTTCTAACAATTTTATTTTTAAATCAGGGAATCAAAATTGCTGAAAGATTTTTTTTTCTGAGCTGAACTACAGATGGAGTCTTATCAAATCAGGCTGACAGACTAAATCTGCCTGTGCATCAAGACATTCTGTCATGAACAATGTTCTTGTCTCATGCTAACCTAAGTGACAGTATCAAACACAGGCCCATTATGCCCCCGCTACAGCCACTGATTTAGACAATTTTAAGAAAATAAAAACAAACAAATGAACCCCCCCCAACAAACTCATCCCTTTTTATTAACACTTTAATGCTGCTTTTTAATATAATATCCATTACTAAGCTTAAAAAAAGAAATTGTTTCTAGTAAATCTGAGGCATAAAGTGCCCATTTTCTCTCTTCTGATTTATATCATTGTTCTGTTTTTACAGCTTACTGTTGACAGAGTGAGGTAATTCAACTACAATTTTTCCAATGTTTTTTCCCATGTACATGTAATCTACAGCACGGAATACAGACTCCAAGCCAGTGAACTTGCCCTCAGGAGACATGTCTCCAAAGTCCACCTCACAAACCAGGTCTCCTCTTTCATACATCTTGAGCAAATGCTGCAGAGCCATTTTGTAGTCAGAAAGGTAATGGTTCAAGAAGAAACCCTGGACACTAGCAGACTTCTTCAATAGTTTTGCTGGCAATAACTCTGCTTTAATAGGCTGGAAGCCAGTGGGGTTTTGGTAGCCAGTGATAAACCCAATAACTATCAGGCGCCCTTTGATAGCCAAGGCATTGAGAGCCAAGTCAAACATCTTTCCTCCAACAGATTCATACACCACATCCACACCTTCTGGGTAGTCCTTCCTAAGCACAGATTCGACATTTTCAGTTTTATAGTTGATGGTACGGTCACAGCCAATGGATTTCAGAAAGCCACCCTTTTCATCACTGGAGCAGGTTCCAATTACATGGCATTTTGCCTTTTTTGCAAGCTGCACAGCGAACTGGCCTGTTCCTCCAGCTGCTGCTGTCACCAGAACCTTCTTGCCTTCAGACAGGTCTCCCAGCTCTTTCAAACTGAGGTATGCAGTTGCGCCACTTACCATTAAAGTGAGAAACTCGGGTTTCACCGAGGGTAGAGGGACTGCTTGTCTGGCTGGCACAACTGTGTATTCAGCAAAGGAACCTGCTTTCACGTAGGCCACAGCTTGACCCACCGTGTAATCTGCACTAGCACTGAGTCCTAATGCTACCACTTCACCGACACCTTCAAAGCCTATATCAAAGGGGGGTTTAACTGAGGCGTCATATCGACCAGCTGAGTAGTTTATATCAGATGCATTGATGCCGACAAATCTAGAAGAAAACAAAAATGTTTTAACGAGATTTACTCCTTACCAAGTTTTCATTGTATGAGAAACCTTATATTTAAATTTGTGGGATAAGTACAAGATTTGTTCTGATTATATGTATATTTGAATAACGAGTACACTCCAAAGATTACTTTAATCAGATTTTCATAGTTTCCATTCTGTTATTCTAGAATTACAGACAAATTTTCTAAACAAAAAGAAACAAGAAGTTGTAAAAAGTAAAACCCAAAACAAAACAAAACAAAATCCCTTATATTTTCCTTACGTCCACTTGACTAAGCTAAAGAAGCTGAAAACAAATCTGTAAAAGATTAAAGCATGAAAATTAACTGACCGCTTCATACAAGATTTGAAAACACAGAAGAATGAAACATGCAGAGCAGTAAATATGTGGATTCTGGCAACAAATTTATATTTTTGAATATAATAATACTGTTAATGACTAATGATCATATTAACTATCGATGTCATTTGCAAGGTCATGTTACTGTAGGCAAGTACTTTTTAATTGATGGAGTCACTACAGCAAATTTGCCTTTTGATGTAGCTAATGTCAACGTTAAAATATTTTTCTTTATATAAATTACTTGCAACACATCAAAACAACCTTGCACAGAAGGAGTAAAATTGCAAAACTGAATATCAAGTCCTACTGACCTCTAACAGGTGAAAATAGATGGCAATTTTTTTATTTTTTTTTTTAGAGAAAGATAAAGACATTCTCACAACTTGATTAAGCGCTATGAGATAATTCCTAAAACAAAGTTATGATCTAGCTCAAATGCAAAGATTTTTTTTTTTAAGTAACTATCTTTACACAGGCAAGAGAGGAGAGACTGGGGAAGGTTATGATAACAGAAAAATGTAAAAAAGAAACACATGAAACAGCAAATGCCAGGACTGTTACTATGTATGGATGTGACAACCTAAAAGGTGTACTTGACACCACGTAAAAGCTGCAGAAAAGCTGCAGAAGTAGGCAAACAGTGTTTGTTTCATTGTTACAGTTAGCAACAAGCTCAGCTCGTATATGTGTGTAGTTTTAAATTGCTTGCACGCAGAGTGAAGAGAACTAAAACCGCTTTACTCCTTTTGATATTCTTCATTTTTTACAGCATGGGGAGCTTCAAACTTTCACCAATGTTATGTTTAAAAAGACACATAAGCTTAAACATATCCATACATAAAATAGGTAAAAGAACCTCTCCGTTATCCTGCCTTTAACTCGCCGCTCCTCCGCAGCAAAAAATGCCTACTTCTTGTCCGCAGATACAAAAAAATCTCCTATTATCCCGTCTGCGGTGACTCCCGTACAGGAGTGCTAAAAGATGTATAAAAATTGGTAACGGAGTTGCAGCTTCCGAGGCAGACCGTGTCCCTCGGGCACCAGGCGAGACGTGCCGGCGCTGCACCAGCCTCCTCCCGCCCTTACACCCCAACTTCTGGGGAGGGGAGCGGAGGGTGAGAGCCCGGTGGGGCTCGGTGCTTGCCCCGTCACCGGCCTCACGGCTTGGCCCAGCCGGGGCTCTCGGTAGCCGCGAGGGCAGCCCGGGGCGGCCGCTGTGTCCCCGGCCCCAGCCCGCAAGGGAGGTCCCGGCTCCCGGCTGGGCTCAGCCTCTCTCCTCACGCTCCCGGCGCGCGTCTGCTTTGGCAGGATGCGGAGCAGCCGTGCCCGCGGCTGGGCAGCGCACCCCGACACGGGCAGGCAGCGCAGCGACAGGAGAACAAGCCCCCCCTGCTTTTAAGACCTTCCCCTTCTCGGCGCTGCACGGCGGCGGCCGGAGCACAAAGGCAGGTAGAACAACAAACACTCTGAGGACAAAAACTTTGCGCGCGGGGAAGGGGCAAGTCGTGCGGGGGGCCAGGCGGCTGCCGAGCAGGGCTCCAGCACACGCACCGCTGCTTTTGTTCTGCAGCTGGAGAGGATGCGAACCCTTCCCCGCCCGGGGCGCACGGCAACTTGTGCGTGCGGCTGCGGGGCCGCGGCGCAACTTGGCGCTGCCCGGCCGCTCCCCGCCGCGCCGGGCAGGGGATGCGGGCTCTCCGCGGGGCTGGCGCCCGGCCGCCCCCGCACACTCATCCGTGCATACCCACACAGACACGCGTGTTCAACACCCGCTCCCTCCCCGTCTCTGCGGGGCGGCTGTGCCACGGGAAATGATCCTCCCAGGGCTTCTGGGTTCATCATTATTAATCAGCGCAGCCTACCTTCTATCGCTCCCCCCCTGTTTTTTTTTTTTTTTTTTTAAACCCCCGTTTTATTGTGTGCAAACTCTTAACTCCTGGTCGCATTGTACTGGATTTTTCTCTCCCCCCCCCCCCCCCCCCCCCCTTTTTTTTTTTTTTTTTTTTTTTTTTTTTTTTTTTTTTTTTTTCCCCCCCCCCCCCCCCTCCCTTTATTTATTATTTTTTTTAACAAGATTGTTTAGTCTTAGCTTCCTTGCACATTAAAACGATCACACACACCGTCTGGATTAAAACATAGTGTCTAATTTGCCTTGTCATTCCAGCTAACAGAAGCGGGGTGGTAGGATGTGCGTGCCGTTTCACAGATTATTTTGCTTTTAAAAGTAGAATAAAGTACGAATTACAAGTTGAAGATCAGTTTACTAACTTCTGAGACTGAGGAAAGTAGAGAGCAGAAGAAGAAACAAGTAGAGAGAGTAGAAGAAACAATTACTTGGGGTACTAGTGGGTTTTAAGACACCTTCCAGATCTTTTATGTTGCTTTCATTCACTTTCTTACTTTAAATCTGTCCTTTAATTTAGAAGTTTCTAGTTGAGTTTTGCCCCTTACATTTCAAGATGGCAACCTGAGGCAGGGTGTGAAAAAAGCCTGAGACTGGGTTTTCTCAAAATAATTATGCACATTGAGTCACCCATTTTATTTATACGCAACAGTGTTGAAACCCCTCATACTGTTTATTATAGAAAACAGGAGGACACTGCCGAGGGGAAGAAATGCTGTTTTGTGTACCACAACAAAGAGTGAGACAACGAAAACCAGCATTACAGCCTTAAACACAGACAAAACAAAGTCATCTAAAGCAGCACCACGCAAGAAAAACATTATTTAGACCAAACACCCAGCAGGAATAGCCCTCCATTTTTCCCCATTGTGATCCCTTTAGTCCCCTGGTTCAAAAAAAGAAACTTTCTCAACCTCTCTTACTCCCTTTTCTATAAACTTTGTTCCCATCTTCCAGCCCAAAAGTAAATTCTTACAGGTATTCTGACAATGAAATGTGTCACTTCATCAAGAAAATCTCGAAAATCCCCCAACTTTAAGAAGGACCAAACTTTCACAGCCTTGGGCCCTTCTCCTGCAATGAAATGGAAAACCCTTGCTTCCACACCCACCCCTCTTTGCCCCCCAGAAAACAGAACAAACGGACATACGAAACTTAAATGGCTTCACTAAGGATTTATCACCTTTTCCCTTCCCCTTTCTGTCCTACACAGAATCAAAGTAAAACAAATACCTTAAATTAATTTCTAGTTTTGAAGTATTTTTGGGTAAAAGATGGGTTATTTTTTTCTGTATAAAAAAGTAGAAATAAGAGTTGCTGACCTAGCTCTCTAAAACAGAAGTTTCCCCTAACTGCATCTCATTTTAAAATATCTATCCACACACAGATTTTAATTTCCTATTCCCATAAATCCCAAACCACATTTTATTGTGGTGAATGACGATTGTTTTGCATGAAAAGCTCAAAGCAATTAATACTATTCATGGGCATGACTGGGACTAAAATGAACAAATCTGTAAATGCCCTCTTGGAACCCCAGTCTTTCATTGTTTTGTTTTTAATTGTATGCTTCTACCTATTAGAAAATGTATAATTGTATTTGAGCTTGGTTGTTTGTTTTCTTTTAAAAACTAAATAATCAGAGACTTATCGTTTTGGGATGGGATAGTCCTTCCCAAGAGTGACAGAAAAAGGGAAAACATTCAGAACTTGCTTCATGCTGCAGCTTGTGCACAGCGAATGTTTTACAGTAATGTAATTCTGTGTCTTCTGTGACATTCTTCAGAAAAAAAAAAAAAAACAGTAAAGAGAGAAGAAACGCTACAAGTAATACAAAATGTATGAACTCTACATCTAGACTTCATCACTCACCTCTTCCTCCCCTTCATCCCCACACATGCCTGTATACCAGTAGAGGAATATGTGTGTTAAATCCCAGCAACTGCCTGCCTGAATCTGTGGACCAGCTCCCGCCTTTAGTATGGTACGAGCCCTTTTACCATGATTGTGCATGTCCCACAAGCACCCAGGGAGCCCACTCAGCAAAAGGAGGGAGAAGAGGAAGAAGGGAAGAGTTACACTGGAAGCTGTTAAAAAAAAAGGAATAAATTCTAGAAATGTACAGGAGGGCAGGCGGGGGAGTGGGATGAGAAAGACTGCAAGTGCATGTGTGGGAGGGAGGGGAGTTTAGAAACAAGGATGTCCCTCTGCCTTGTATTACCCAAATAAGAGTACTTGCTACTTGTATCTCAAGTCTTTGGACCTCTTCCACAGGAAGGAATTTAACTCCAGCCGATACTGTTGCACGCCAGTACTGTTTCAGTTATTAGTGGTGCAGTAACACAGTGTCTTAGAGTTCTGAGGTTTGGAGGGAATTTTGGTCTCAGAAATCCTAGTGGGAGATGTCAGCATCGAATTAAAGTGCCACAGCAGCTTTCTCGTCAGCTCCTGGAAGAAACACTGCTCTTTCTCCTAATCCCTTCTTCACCCTGTATTTTTGTGTTACATATGGACACATACATGTCACACATACGCACACAGTCACACACTGCCTTAGTGAACCGCGCAGCATTGTTCTCAAGCCAACTTAGTGCTGCTTAACATCTTTAGGCTCCCACAGCGAACACGGCAAACTATGTGTTACTACGATTTCCTTGCTTGACAAGAACCTGAGAACACTGCTCTCTCCCGTGCCAGCCACGCAGTCTGCTCCAAAGTCCCCGGAGTTTCGGCTTCCCTTCGTGGGCAGAGAAACCTCTGAACTTCAAAAGATTTAGTTTTAGCGCAAGGAAGGACGGCGTCTAGGAAGGAGCCACCGAGGACAAACAGGCTTTATGGAGACAGTGGGGGGAGGCACGTTTTCTCCTCGGAGTCTTCATTTCATGGCGAGCTGGTCACCGCGCCGGACGTGGGATTTACGGTGTATTATGCTAAGCAAAATGTCACCTCCTCACTCTTCGCCCGACCCGGCTGCTCTCTAAAAGCCACCAATAACTGCGGGCCCGCGTCCTGCGAGGGAGGCCGAGGGCCGCCCTGCCCCTCCGCGCTCGGCGCGCAGGGCTGGGGGTGGTGCCGGGGCCGCCCGGCCGCGGCCTGCCGGCGAGTCACGGCTGCGCGGGGCGAGCCCGCAGCGCGGCGCGGGCAGCGGGGCCGCGCCGAGGCAGCGGCCGGGCCGCCCGCACACCGATGCCGGGGCGCCGCGCGGGGACACGCTCATGCCCCGGGCAGGGCGTGCGTGTAACCAGCCCGGGCAGGCCCCAGGGAGGGGCCCTGCGAGCGCTCCCCTCCGTCCCACTCCCTCCTCGGCACTCACCGACATAACACTCGCCTCTTCCCCGCCCCCCCTTTGGCACAGAGGCCCTGGGGAGTTTCTCTTCCTTCGGGCAGGCGCACGCCGGGAGCGGCGCGCACACACAGACAAACCCACGCAGCCCCGCCACACGAGGAGGAAGTGTCACCCCCACACACGTGGATGGGGTGACAGAGCTGTAGCACCAGCCGTTCAAAACAACAACAATAAAATGAAATTAACAGTCGCCAGATGGCGGCTGGCACAACTTTGGAGCCGGCCTCCGAAGTGAGGGCGCATGTGGGAGAGAGCAGGCCACAAGGCGCCAGGAGTCGGCGGGCCGGGGCGCGGGGGGGCGGCCGGGGCTCACCTGTTCCTGACCAGGAGGTCTCCGTCTCCCGGGAGTGGCACGGGCGAGTCCTGCTGCAGGGTGACCGCTTCCCTGAAGTTTTGGCTCAGCTTAGTCACCACCAGCTTCTTCATGGAGCTGGGGATGGACGAGCCCTGGAAATCCAAAAAGTGACGGGAGTAGGACATGTCCAGGACGGGCCGTGACCAGCTGCCACCGAAGCAGGACCAGGCAGGAGCCGCCGCGGCACAGGACGGCTGCCGCCGCCACCACCACCGCGCTGCCCGGGAGCTCAGCGAAGCGCCGCTTTTCGCGCTAAAACTCATGCCCTGCCTCGGGTCTCCTCTCCCGCCCCGCTCGGCAGAGCTCCGACTCGGGATTCTCCAGGCAGCTCGCAGGACGCGCCGGCAGGAGAAACTCCCCGCTCGCAGCTATGTGTGTACGTAAACAGAGCCCCCGTGCAGCAGGCTCTCCCTCCCCTCCCAGCCGGCCCCTCCGCCGCACGGAGACGCCGCCGGAGGAGCAGCGCCAAGACGGTCCCCCTGCAGCAGCCGCTCGTCTTCTGCCGCCCAAGGGCACTACCGAGGGGCGAGGCCGGCCCGCTCCTGCGGCCGTCCGTCCCACTAGCGCCTGCCCCTGCCTGCCTGCGCTGCCTTGCCAGCGAGGCAGGTGTGCGGCGGGCCGGAGTATCTCCTAAAGGAGATGGTGGTGGTGGTGGCTTTTAGTTTGCACCCTGGCTCTGACTAAGGGGTTTAAAAACAGGGGAGGGAGAGAGGGGGGGCAGACAGACGGACAGAGAGAAACGCCTCGGATTAACCCCCCCCCCCCCCCCGCCCCGTTCTTTCGTTTACAAAAAGAGGGTATATCCCGACCCCCCAAAAAAGGGAGGAATGGAGAAAAAAAAAAAAGAGAGAAGAAAGCACGGTAAATTATCGGCCGGGAAAGGTTAGAGAGAAGTGGGGAGAAGTTGCAGCTAATCTCCTAATGTTGTTATTAGCCGCCGCCGAGGAGCCGCTGCCCGCGGGCGGACGCTCCGCCCCTTCCGTGCGAAACGTTTCACTTCCTCGCAAGGTGCTACGAATCAACCCCGAGACGGCGGCGGCGGCTCCGCGCCTGCCGCAGGAGGGGATTTAAACGGGCGAAGCTCTTCCCGCCGTCGCCGTCCTGCCGAGAGGGGAAGGGTAACAGGCTGCTGTCAGTTTGCTTGGGTAGCAGGGGTGATCCCTGATACGGCCAGAAAATCTTGCTGTCCCCTCTCGCTTCTTTCTTTCTTCTTAAAAAAAAAAAAAAAAAAAAAAAAATTAATTTAGTCATTTTTCGCTCTAGGTTACGTTTGGGTGAGGGAACCTGCTCAGGGAATCAACTGGGTCAAGGAACCGAAGTCAATGTTATGATAGAGCTGCCAATCCCAACTTGGTACAACTGCGTAGAGAAAAGCAATATAATAGAGATGTTGCATTGATGTCGCATATAGTTCCCAGAATTAACTCCATCTTACCAGTCTAAACAGCTCAATGCTTAATTGTGCGGTAATAAGAAGAAGGAAAATTCCCTTCTGCCCGAAAAAGAACAAAACTGCAGTTCCAAGTGCTTTCCTTTAGGAATCAGCTGGGTAGTTTTTATTTGCTTTCTTGACTTAAAAAAAAAAAAAGGGAAGAACCCTTCTGTTCTCGCAGCTAACATTATATAAATCCCCAGACACATACTGTGCAAAATGTATTAGCAGTATGTTTCATATGCTGCAGTTCTCGCTCTGCAATCTGTTGGTATTTTAAAGTAAGGATGAACTGTAATCTCCCATAAATCATTTTTAATTCAATGCTGGGTAGACGTGTGCCACGGCGAAGTATCATCTCCTGCCTGCCTCTTTTTTTTTCTTTCTCTTTTTAAGTTTGCTGGAAGAAGACCTTTGCTGAAGTTAAATCAGCACATGCGTCTTGCGCAGCACTTCAGCAAGTGGATTATAATAACAACCCCCTCAACGCGTGTCTCACATGAGGAATCTTTTATGCCGTGCTGTATTAAGACTTTTTTTTTGTCATATTGTTTAGCTCTGGGAAAGGGAAAAAAATGAAAACAAAGCAATTAAAAAGATTGACAGGTATGGGTTTGTGTGAGACCTATTTGTAATTGTCAGGGTGACGTGGGCAAGAGGAGGAGGAGTAACAAACTGAAGCAGGAAAAGCAGCTCGATGTGTCTGTCTATCAGTTGAGACTGTCTGAGAGCCCTGGGATCCGAATGTGTGTTATATTTCAGTGAAAAGAGAAGAGAGGGAGAGTGGATCTCTTTCTCTCCCAGGAGTTTAGGGGGGGGGACAGTTCACGTTAATCTGTCCCACTCAGTGAATGTCTTTTCTTCCTCCCCCCCTCCCTCTCTGCACACACTCTCCGGGGTTTTTCTTGGTTTTGGCAAATTTTTTGTGTGTGTGTGTTGTTTTTTGTTTTTTGGTTTTTTTCTTCTTCTGTTGCAGATCGAGATCAGCAAAAAAAAAATCCATGATAAAAAATGTGTTTGCATTATATTTAGTAGCAGAAGAAGCTTCGATTTGTGGAAGAGAAAAAAAAGGGAGAGCAAGAGAGAAAAGTAGTCCTCTCCGGTGGTGACACTGTTTGATCTGTGACTGTTTGGAAGGTGGAGGAGTGACTGACATTTCCCATCCGGTGTATATGTATGTATGGGGGCTTTACTCCTTTTTATGATTTGCTTCCTTGCTCTTAGACTAAGTGCTGGGAGGAGAAGGAGAGACTGGATCGACCTCGTTTTTTGCACAATGAACAAACTATTACCAACGCAATAAAAAAACAAACAAACAAAAAACCCCCCAACAACAACAGCAACAACAACACACAAATCCACGAGCTTGAAACAAGCCAGCGAGCGAGCGAGAAAGTTGCGCTTTGAGACTCTTTGATCTCGGAGAAAGCCTGAGAGGGGGGGAGTGACTGAATTTACCGTCTCATCGCCGCCGCTTGCTCGGCTCTCCACCGCGAAGAAGGAGAAGAAGACGAAGAAGTGATTAAGGAAAGGAGGGGGAGAAGGGGAGAGAGAAAAAGGAGGAGAAAAAAAAAAAAAAAGGAACGAAAGAAAGATAATGGATTTGGGCTACAGATTGAACTGATCAAATCTTATTTATTTTGCACATCTCCACTGGCATCTTCCCTGCTGCTGCTGCTGCCGAGAGGACTGAAGAGCTTTGTCTTATAAGGAACTTAAAAGAGAGAGAAAGAGAGAGAGAGTGTGTGAGAGAGAGAGGGAGGAAAAATTAACCTTGTAAATGAAAACATTTCCTAAGCAAGTTTTTGGAGTGGCGGCGGAAATTGGCATCCCTGTCACCAGTCTGTGGCTTGCCTCATCCCACACCCCACCTTCCCCCCCGCCCCGCGCACCCCGCTCGCCGCGCCGGGAGCTGACCCGGGGGGGGAACCCGGACCGGGCGAGAGGAGAACCCGACCAAACTTTTTCTCCTTCCTCCCCCCCCCTCCTTCCTCCTCCTCTCCCTCTCTCCCATTCCTCCCCACCCTCCCTCTCGCTCTTCCTAGGCAGAATTAGAAGTTGAATCCGCTTTCTTTTC